CATTTGCCTTTGGCTTCCAGAGAAAGAGAACATGAAATAAAACCACAAAAACAAAATAAAGACAAAACCCTGCAGAGCAGTTTACACGTGCATTGTGGTGCTCCAAGTGACACAGGAAAACTCAGTCAAAAACACAAAGCCCTGTCTAGTCGGTAGGAAAATAAGTGAGTCAGTTTGGTCCTTTGTAGGCTAACTTTCTAACAGCCAAGCTGCCCTAACAAATATTAGGATAACTTGATCTATGTTGGTCCAAATGGCCTAATTTTTTCCTACTGACTGAGAATTTAGTGACGTCTGACAACAGAGTTATGTATTGGAAACAGCTGGATTTCTCTTTTAAGTAGATTTCTAAATAGTTGTTCTGCTGGTCACTGTAAATGTTCTAGTAGACACCAGTTTTGCTTCAAATGTTAGAAACTAGGTGGATGTATTAACACTGGTAGACCCTGCCCAAGTGGATGACTCTCAGAGTGACTGCCTTGATTCTCTACCATATCAAACCAGTGCAAAAACTCTAGATGAACCTGTGTTTCTGTGGCAGTTCATGTCATACTACGGCGACAGTACTTTTCTTTCCTGATTTGCTGATAGCATTACGCAGGTTTGACAAATCAGGGAATGAACACAGTGGCTGCACAACAGCTGACACCTTTAAGCTAACACAGGCTTTAATTTCACTGAAAATCATTAGCTTACCAACTTATTGTCAACACACAACTAGAGTCTGTAAACAGCATAAGTCTCATCACGGCAGCAGCGGCTCATTGTTTAAAAATCAGGTGCTAAAGGTGCAGAACGTTGTGTCGGACTAATGGTGGCTGGCAAGCAGCTCGTCAAGGTCGGCCATCCACTCCTGCGTGCTTTGGCCCTTCAGCAGTGAGTCAACTAGCTCACTCTCTGCTGCAAAGCTCCCTGATGCCATGTTGTAACCAAACGACACCTGCTGCTGCTGTTGGTTGGCAGTCCTATTCACCTGATAACCTTGGTTGCACTGCAGTCCCTGCCGACCATTTGCCTGCTGTGCTGCAAACGCAGCCAGATCTGGGAGGACTGCCTGGCTCTGATTTGTCTGCTGTTGCTGCTGTGGTGCCTGCTGCTGGTTGGCCATCGGCTGGCCAAGGCTCTGTTGGTTGGGTGGCCCTCTCTGTTGAGCTGATGGCATATTTGTCTGCATCATCTGCTGCCCTGGATTCATACCTCCCATTGGACGGCTTGCAGGGTTTGCACCAAAAGGTGCTGCACCTGGAGGCATCTTGGGAATTCGTTGCTGCTGCTGCATGTGAAAAGCATTAGGAGTGTTGGTGAAGGCGTTAGGTGGCAGGCCAGCATTGCTTGATTGTTGCTGCCATGGAGCGCCCTGGGCCCCAGGTAAGTTACCAGGCATGGAGCTTGGTAGACTGGTGGCCATACTGCTCTGCATGGTACCAGGCATTCGTGCAGCAGCAGCAAGCTGCTGCTGCTTAATCATGGCAGCATTGGGCTGCGTCTTAAGGTGGTGCTGCTGCTGGGCCAGAAGGTTTTGCCTGTAGGAGGCGGTCATTGCACTTAGCTGTTGCCGCTGCATGTTGGATTGCTGCTGTGGATGTGTGGGGTGGTTGGCGTGAATGTTCATGTTGTTGTACAGGACCTGTTGGACGTCCACACCTGCTCCACCACCTCCACCACCACAGGAAGATAGGCTAATGTCAGGCTGACTTGAACCTGATGGCGGAGCAACACCACCTGCTGGAACACCACCTTGTGCCATAGTCATACCCATCATGCCTTGGTTCTGAGGAAACATACGTTGTGAGCCAGGACCCGGGGCGCCCATTGAACCAACATTTCCAATTTGCTGTGAAGAAGCTGCAAAGAAACATAATGACAAATGAAAAACAATTAAACATACGAACAAAGGACTTAACATTTCTCTGTTAATGACACCAAGTCTTTACAGAAACTCTCTTTAAGCTCTATAATATTAAATCTGTTAAATAAACATGTTAAACTATGCAAAATGACCACATATCTAAAGTAGGTAAACACTTAATGATGATTAAAGTGAATATACACAACATAAATTCAATGTATTGTTGTTATTAATACTTTTAATTTTAATTTTGAGGATTTTTAACCAATGATTGAAAAGTACTATGGTCCTCAACTGTGTTTTTAAATATAACATGATGTAGAAGGGTAAGCAGAGAACAACACTGTACACAGAGACACACACACACACACACACAGAGTATTTTACTTCTAGTCAAATGAGTGCTAAACATAATTTACACACAGACACGGAAAAAGGTTGTATTCAGTTCAGTTCCATATCAATGATGTTTCATTTTAACATTAAACATAGATGAGGACACTGACAAAAATACAAATACTTGTGAGGGGAACAAACACTAAAATAAAAGTCTTTCACCTGTAAACTGGTTGACTGTCTGCTGTGGGAAGGGGTTCTGATTGGCTGGTTGTCCCGGCTGGTCCTGGTACTGTGGCGGAGGTCGAGTCAGGCGTCTCTGAAGCTGCTGGTCCTGCTGTCGTTGCTTCTCCTAAAATACACAAGTTCAATCAGCAGTTTATATTGACATCTCTTATCATAAAGATGCACTGTATGTATAGTAGCAGACCACTAGGATGTGGTAGTTTGGGCCTCACTTTCAATATTCCATGTTTAATAGACAGATACTTTTTCAGTGAAAACACAATGGGTTTCATATACATTTCATTAGGTTTTAACAGTTTGTAGGGATTCAAATTAATGACCAAATTAGATCTTATTTTTTATTCCACCTTCAAAATAAAGGTTTAATGAAATGGCATTAGTATTTTGAGATAAAAAAGAAAGTTTGATACAAAAACAGTAATGGTCTGCTCAGACATTTAATGTGTATATTTTTTGATATTTGTATCAAGCCTTTGTCCTAATGTAATACATTTATAGTGTAGTACTTTGTAATTATTGGCAAACAGCACCCTCTAGTGACAAGTGTATGATTGATTACAGGCTGTACAAGTTTAAGTTCAAGGCAGCATTAAACCTTAAAGACCAAAGCACATTCATGTTATTGCCTTTTTAAATATTATACATTATTTTTCTGCAACATCAGGAAAAAGTCTATCGCAGCATTTTTTGAAAACTATGAAAGATGTGTTTTGTTTTTTCTCTTCAATTAAATTTTGATAACACTCTGGTAATGAGGTCAAGTGTGGGATGTCTAACCGAGTGAACCTCACCTGTTCAGCCATGAGCTGCTGCCTTTGCATGTACTGCTGCTGCTTCTGCTGTTCAAGGATCTGCTGCTGATGCTGCTGCTGTTGCTTCAGTACTGCTGCTGCCACAGCCGCCTGGTTGCTGAGGTACGCTGCATTTCCATGGTTAGCTGACATGGCGCTGGGCCCTTGCTGTGACCCCATGCCATTGTTTCCGGGCACAGGTGCCATGGTGTTGGCAGGGCCTGGACCATGTGGAGGAGCAGGATAGCTGTTCTGGTCCTAGGAGGGCGGAATAAATTAATAATTAAATAAATAAAACTCTCTTTTTTACTAGTCAACCAAGTGGATATTGCAATGGATTAGTTTAATAATGTAGTAACTTTCATAGATGATATGAACTGTTGAATTAAAACAAAACAGTTGGATCAGAACACAGTCTTGGTTGAGCCGAGTTGTTAACAGTAACATATGCCTCTAGTCTCCACATAACCCATTGTAATCTCTAATTTCAGTACCATCAAATGCAGGATGACAAGCAACATTTCAGCTATAACACTTGGCACTAAGCAAAAGTTCAGGTTTTTAGTAAGTCAGTGAAAGTTGTGCAGTTGTTTGAAAACAGGGAGTAAACTGCTGCAGGAACAGAGAGTCTTCTATAAAGTAGCTAAATTTAAATACAGACAGAAAATATGAAAGGCTGCTTTGTCGTTCCCCCTCCTTACGTGTGTATGCACGCACACACATACACACAAACACACACATGCAGAGTGTGGGGCCCAGGCTACAACTGAACAAAGGCCTCACTTCCATAGCCTGACTCCTCCTCAACTCAAACTCTGTGCATCTAAGTTTCAGTGAGTAACAATTTTCGATAAGTAAGTATAAAAAAGCACAACAAAGCTAAAAGTGGACTACTCTGCTCATACGTTCCCATAGTACACCAGTAAGCTTCAGTTGCTGTAATATTTCTAAAAGGATGGTGACACTCGCACAACTCATTCTATTTTCAGCCATTTCCTTCACTGTCAGTAGGCGTTAAATTAAATTCATGATGTCATAAAAAATGGGCAAATGTTGTGTGACATTGAATTTTTACAAGTGACACCACCCAGTTGTTTTAATCTGGACAGTTGCACCCAGGGTAACTGCAGAGCACATGGAGAGTCACTTTGTTATGGAACATATAGCTTTATTCTATTTCAAACTAACCTAAAATGACCATTCAATAAAAACCATTTAGTCAGAAGGGAACTTTATACATATACTATTTATCCTATTTATCCCTATTTGTCCACATAAATACAATAATTTCCCCCCCAAAAAAAGATTTTGCTTAAGGTTGCATGGCATAAAAATATTGTGCTAAACGTTACACAGCTTGAAGATTAAATGTTACAGAAGGAGTACAGCTCCAGGGATCACAGGTTGTTATACCTAGTCAACCTCCAGTGCTCACTGTTCATCACTCTGATGTGAATTTCTTACCTGGGTGTGTGGGATGTGCTGTCTGAAATTCATGCTGTTCTTCTGTTTATTCTGTTGTTGTTGTCTAAGCAGTGACAGAAGTACCGCCTTGTTCTGACTCTGGGTGTTTGGAGGTGGTCTTGGTGGCCCCGGTCCTGGTCCTGCTTCAAAATGTGACAAGGGCTTGGTGTTGTTGTAGTTGAGCATTGTAGGCGGAGCCTGAGATCCAGGAGTAGGTGGGTGACTGAGGGGCGGTC